CTCTCCCGCTGCAATTGCTGTTGTGCAGGTTTTTTCTCCCTTTCTTAACTCTGTTCTCCCCGAGGTGCTACCCCCTTGGCTGATGGGCTGGGTCTTGGCCAGCAGCGGGTCCATCTTGGAGGCGCTGACGTTGGCTCCATCGGACATGGGGGAAGCTTCCAGCAGCTTCTCACAGAAGCCACCCCTGCAGCCACCCTCCTACCAAGACCTGGCCACGCAAATGCGATACAACTGATAATGAAAGCAATGTCTGGTATTGCCTGGAGCAGCCTCCTTGGTCCATACAGCTGCCCAGGAGAAAGGGATTTGGTTTTTTTTTGTATCTGACTTCTGCAAGTTGATCTGAATCTAAATTAAGATTGCATTATCCTGCTCTTTTTTTTTTTTTTTTTTTGGTGAAGATATGCTGTGGTATTTTTGTCAAGATTTAGCTTTTTAAAGGTCTGGTATCTGACTTTGGGGAGCTTCAGAGGACATACTTTCCCTTGCTTTGGCAGCAGTCTGTTTCTGTTGGTTTTATATCAACATTTGGTGCAAGGGAACTTTACAAGAAGTAATAATAAGTATAATTGCAAAATGTCCATTGTTACTTTTTTCATGACTGTGTAGAACTGTTTTATTTTTGCCATGTGATTTGTTTCAAGAAAGGATTATGCCAAGTTCTGCCTTGTAATCATTGGAGATTCACCCTTGGGAAATGCTTCTTCACAAACTTGGCAGGAAACGCTCAGCTATTGCTTTCTCAGAATTCATCCAAAGAAAGTGCCTTTGACTGAAAGGAGAGTCAAGCACTTCCTTTTGAGAAAATGCCATACTCCCCCCCCGCCCCTTTTTGTAAGGAATCTAAGCTCTCTTTCAGTGTCTTAGAAAAGAATATAATATATTGAAATATGTTTTTCTTCTTCCCTCTTAGGAAATTTCTCAGAGTTCTTCCTCTACCAAGTGAAAACTGGAGTGCTTTAGTTGACGAGTGGTGTTGTCACCCTAACCCCTTTGCCAGAAGCACTTTGCACCCTCAGCATGATGACTGTTTTCTTGGAGACACTTTTTTTCTGTTGAATTCAGCGAATGAATCACATGTGCCTGAATCTCCCATGTGCTGCTCAGGGACTGGACACCATGCTTCTCAGAGTGACTCCAACTTGGTAAAGTGTTTTGTTTGAATAATTCTTAAGGGAATATATTTGGACTTTTTTCATTGTAAAACACTTTGTTTTTTTCACTGGTTTATTTAACTTGTATGTATGACAGAGCTGTTTTGAAAGTCATGGGGAGTTGTTGACATTCAGTTGTACAGAAGCCAGAAAATATTCTAAGCTATGATTTACATTTTCTAAAGCATGCAGCATGGTCTTGATATTGACCTAGATATGCAAGAAGAACTTACTCCTATAAACTGAATTAGAAACTATTTAATTATGTAGTTCTAAACCCAAATATTTTCCCCCAAAATATCCTGAGTGAAGGACATCTTTAGTAAGATAATAACTGTAATGGGTTAGGTGTTTGTCAAAAGGTAGTGGAGTGACGAGTAAGAAGAAACTGGAGTAACAATGCTTTTTCTCCTCAAACTATGACTGGCTGCATAAACATGAATATGATCAAAGGAAGGTGTGATTTTTTTTTTATTTTTTTTTTATTTTTAGTTTGTGTTTTGGGTTCAAATGTGACTGTCTTACACTCTTGGAATATAGTAAGGAGATTGAGTTTGTTTGACTGCTCTGTCTAGTGAAAGGGACCTGGCATCCCAGGTTGTAACTCTCCGTGTTGATGTTTCTGAGGTGTTCCAGGAGGGGATCTATCCATCAGCTGAGTCTCTAGGAAGAAGGCTATCATTTGGCTTAGAAACATCAAAATTTGTTGTTACCCAGGAAAAAAACATTTGTAGGGATACTGATGTTTCAATGGTGGGATAAAACCCATGAAGAAAGAAAATTCAGTGCTTTACTCATCTTGGAGATCTAACACTACTATAAAAGCTCAAGCAGTAATCTTTTCCTGTATCAGAAGAACATCCAGGAGCTTACTTCACCAAAGCTTACGTTTCCATAAAGCCTTTTCTGTTAATCTAATGCTTGTCTGTATTTGTGCTGACAAAGGTTGGACCTGCAGATACCATCTTTTCTTCCAGTACCATGTATTAAACCTAATTACTGAAATCCTTCTACAGTTATGGGAACCGTTGCTGCCTTGGCAGCTTGTGTCTGTAATGGCTGATGACTCGCTATGTACAGGTTGCCAACATGAAACTTTTAATCTGTTGAGAAGAATCGCCAGAGACCCTGATTCCTGTCTGCTACTGCTGCTCCTTATCATCATTAGGGATTTGTTGTATTCCCAGTTAAATCACTGGGAGCCTCGCAGTTCAATGCTTGCTGATGCAATGCATCCAAGTGAGCCATCTGCTTGCAGAATGGTTCTGTCTTACAGTCTGTATCTGCAAGTCCTGCAGCTGTGGTCCCTTTGGTTTCTTGCTCCGTTGTTCTTTGAAAAGCAGAATACGGGGAGGGGAAGATAAGAACTGATACCCTGAAAGAATATCAGCATGGGAGAAGCAGATTATTTTGGATTAACTCTGTGGCAATTGGGAGTTATTTCTTCTAAGTATCCTTAAGAAGGAGGCTGAGCAGAAGATTCCAGATTTCCAAGAGGACAATGCTTTCTGCCAAAGGTCCCCAAAATGAATTATCTCACATTTCAGTAGTCTCAAAAGAGGTCTTAGAACAATGGGAACAAAGATGAGAAGAGGCAGGGTGCATGGAGTTCATGTTGCAGCCCAAGGACAGGGGAGCAGTCTGCCCAACACACTTCTTCAATCGATCAAAGAGAATGTTTACCAAAAAGGATTGTTTTTGATGCAGAAACATGATAAAAGGATGTGGGACAAAGATGTTACTGAGACGTGGGTCAAATCAGGATAACAGCAGAACTTTTGAATGAGGGAGGAGGCTGTTTTCTGTCGCATGCATACAATAGTAGTTTAATATGATGGATTTTCATGTTTGCTTCCTTAAACTTGCATTGAAGTTGAGAATTCTTTCCTTGTTTGTGTCAAATCCCTCTTTCTACATCTTTCACACTTGCAATGAATTCTCATTTCTGTGTTTGCTTATTTCCAGCATCACTCAGTTGCCAAGCAAATGAGCAAAACTGTAAGATCCAGCAGAAACTGGACTAATAAGGACAAAAACCCTCATACTGAAACAGAAAATTCTTCCATAATATGAGTAATAGAAAGTTACAGGCAAGATAGATTGCTATTGGCATAAATGTTCTCATTTCAGAGAATATTGTGGCAGTCTGCCCCAGTATGAAAGTTCTTTTTTAATTGCATTGCAGTTCTTTGGAAAGTGTTTGCCTATGACCAAAATTTAGGAATGTACCAGAGATGCTTAAACAATCTTTTCCGGCCTCCAGTGGGACCAAGACAGCATCTGTCCATTGCAAACATATTTTTCAGATCTATTAGTCTTCCAGTATAACATAGTTTTTAAATGTCACATGGTCTTGCAGCATCCTAATAGTATCTCTTGGGGAAAACATTTTTCCTGACGCCGTATCAGGGATCCTTAGGAATAGAAACAGAAAATATTAGGCTGGTGATCCACCTCTATCTGCGGATTGCCAGCAGCTGCAAATTGTCAAATAGATATATTGTTTTAATTAGTTTAGCTAAAACTATCGCTTTTTCTGTTGAAGCATGATAGAACGAGTTAATGGTGTTTGTTAGGTACTGTACTGCACAATTCTCAGCTAGCACCTGTAATTGTAGTCAGAAAAAAACATTCAAGTTGTAGCTTTCAAGGAAGTACTGCATATTATATACTTGTACCATGCAGTATTTGTACCAACCTCAAATACTGGTTTTCACAAAACCCCGTCTACTTATCCTTACTCTTCATGTTAAGTAATTTTAGTGTGTATGTTTGAGAGGAGTAGCAAGGTGAGAATTGGGAAAGGGGATAACTGTGTATATATGAACCAGATGTTTTTTGTGATCTGCATAACAAGGGGGCTGTACTTCCAACATAGTCAGCTCTCTGAAGCTTTAACAGAGGCTGTCGGGCTCTCCCTGGGGCTTTTAGTTTGATTCTTGTTTTGTGAGGAGCAAGCAGGACTATGTGATCGTAAGTTCAGATTCCATGTGGGAGACTTTCTGTTTTCTGTGGAGCTAGAGTGGTCCTTCTGTTCATTTTATTACTTGCATGGTGCAGATCAGAGAACTCTGTTAAGTATTTCCAACATCAAATCCATCAGTTCTGTCTGAGCTATAGCTTTCAGAAAGACGTCCAGTATTGATTTCATACTTCAAATGATGGAAGCTTTATCACATTCCTTAGTAAGCTGTTTCAGTGTTTAATCATACTGACTCTTTGCTGCCTTCTTATTAAATTAAGCACGGTAAGAGTTGCAACTCTGTATGTCTTTTTATCTCTAAAGTGTATTTCTTTTCTCGAATTTATTTTTGTAGCATTTTTCCAAACCATTGTCCGAATTTTTAATGTACTTTATAGATCCACTTTTGCAGTAATCTTCTCACTAATTCTGAAGATGTTATATTTTTCTATTTATCTGTATCAACTATTCAGTTGTTCATACATTCAGAGATCATACTTGCCTTTTCTTTTGTAGCATCTCATTAGTAACTCTGGTTTGGTTAGCTACCATCATCTAAATTCTTCTGATTTTTTGCTGTCTTCCACTGGCTTTGTTGTTCCTGAATATATGGTCTAGCATTTGGCTATATTTTAGTGCAGATTGTTAGACTGAGCACAACCTACTTAATGATCCAGACTGATGTGTATAACTCCTCTGTCTCTCTTGTGTACCCCTTTCCTATCATTCCGGCAGGCAGTACTCACACTTTTCCATAAAGTGACTGAAAAAGTTGGCCCAGTGTGTCTGTTTGACTTGTCTATAATCTCTTTCATCACCAGTCTAATCACAGACCACAGGTCCTTCAAGGCACCTGAATTAGAATAAATCAGTTAACAAAGCATTGTTCAGTTCTGGTTAGGATAATTGTGCTTGGAAATCTGCACAGTCTGAAAGTCCACAATCCAGGTTCTGAAGACAACCTGTAATGGACACACCTCAAAACTTAGCTCTGTAAGTTGATAAAGTGTACCTGACCTAGCTAGGACCATTGGATTGACTTCATGCTGTTGGTTTTTTAATTATTATTATTATTTTAAACGATTTTGTGATGTGATAGGCCACAGAGCATCACTTTTTGTTCTGGACATCAGTCCAACACATCATCATCATCTATTTTAAAATTTGAATATTAATGAGTGTGATAGTGGTGATGGAGAACAACTATGCTCCCTGAAGAGCACATGCATGTTCACTCTGGTTGGAATCCATGCGAACTGTGACCATCTTTTACAAAGGTTACAGAAAAAGATAAATGTGGAGCTTTTTCCCCCTCAACTAGTTTAATTTATGCTAAATTTAGATATTATTTTTGTAGACATGTGCTGCAGTATGATTTCTCAAATTGATCAAGACTTGTTTGGACTTATAAACCAAGCCAATAAAACAGTAGTTGTTTAATAACACTTGGGTGTTTTTATGCGCTGTATACTGCGTGAGCAGTTATAAAGGTGATTATACAAAGACCACATGTAAAAATCCAATTTAGGTGTCTTCTCATTACATCCTCAGGATTTCTAGCTCCAGAAGGGTTTATTAACTCAGGAGCATCATTGTGATTGTAGCTACATCCTGCTTCCAGACGAGAGCTGTACTGTGCCACACCCAGGTTAATAAGGCCACACAGAATGATTTCTGAGGTTTAGACTTTGTATTAAAGTAAGAATTGTGCTTACTTGTATCTTTATATTGATACTGAATTTAAATATTAACAGTGGAATTAGTGAGAGCGTTACTAGGGCAGATCAGAGGTTCATCCAGAAATGAGATCTTTTCCAGTGGACAGTCATGGATGCATAAGAGTAAGGCAAGTATTGAGTGATGTTTTGGCCAGTGTAGAGACTTCTTGAACTAGATGTTGTTATCCACATTTTTGTTTTTAATAAGCCCTTGATGAACATTGCTTCCCCTGAATTTTTGAAGACTTTTTGGACTTACGTATACTTTTAATATGAAAAATACTTTCCTGTAGTGAGTACCAAACTATATTCTGCATTGTGTGACAAATTCCTTCCTTTCCTTTGCTACAAACCAGGTTCTAATTTCATAGCATGAGCTATAAATGTTTTTTTCCTGTCCAGCTTTTCCTAAACATTTGTCATTTTATATATCTCGATACCTCTCAGTTTTCTGTCTTTCATTCTTACTCCCATTACATGTGTTTTCTTGCCACATATGGAAACTGTTTTGCATTTCTGACAATTATTCTTATTCTTTGTCAATACCTTTTCTGCTTCTGCTTGAATTGAGGGAGAGGGATTGTTCAAGAACAGAATCTGCTGCACCTTTCTGGAATATGCTATGTTGTGTTTTTCAGCTGTTTTCTAGTAATTCAGAATACTCTGTGGACATTTTCTGCTCTCTGCTGAACATGGAACTGCTGTTCCTATAAAACTCCACAGTGGCTAGAACTTTTTACTCAGTGATGGTAGCCACATTTCAGCATGATATTTTATGTATATATTTTGGAATACCTCTTTTCATGTGCATTATTTTGCCCTTATCAAAATCGATTTTACCGTGTCATTTTATCATCCAGTCACTCAATATTACAAGATTCTTCTGTTAGCTATTACAGGTTGTGCTGTGTGGTCAGTATGTATTGCCAGATTTTAAAGCTGGTATGAAACTTGCAAGCAAGTTGAAGTGTAGAAAGCTGAAGTAGTGAATGCAAATCTATGTGTATGTAAACATAAAGAGAACAGAAACAAGTACAAAGTTCACTATCTACTCTGGAGAATATGTTAAAATTGTACATTCTTTTTTCAGAATAACCAAGTGAGATTTAAATGATATTTCTTTGTCCTACAGAAATCAAAGGAAAACACCAGAGTAATTTGTAAGCGCTGCAAGACAATGCTAGGAGAAACAGTATCATCAGGTATGGGATGTACAAACCAAACTAGACTTCCCTGCATCAGCCATTAAGCACTGGAGATTAAAAACTCTGGAGGAAGGTAGTTTGTCAGTAAGGTGCAGGGCTGATTCCTGTGTGTTTCTCTCATTCACTTCTGGAACAGATGTCATTGTTGCTTCCACTGTTAGATCTTGAAAGTAACTTGCGACAGGGATTTTCCTCGTCCTTGTTTCTGTGGTGTATTTGGCTAATTCCAAAGCTTTGGAAGACTTGATACATGATTCCAGTTTACTAGGAATCCCAGTAAAAAAGGAAACCTGAGAAATTACAGATTACTTATTTTGCTGTCAGTTCTACAGAATAATGGAAAGGTTAATTCGGAACCTCATCACCACAGAAACTAAAGATACGTTTGCTAACAGCCAGCCTGGTTTCATGGAAAGGAAACCTTTTCAAAGAAACAGGTTGTCTCTCATCACCATCCGATGATGAGATGATGAGGTTACCAGTTTAAAAGCTGTCATTATATTGAATCAGCAGGGTTTACCTGAAGTAGTGTAAAGATAAGTGTCTGGTGGTTTTTAAAATACAGTTATTAACAGGAGAGAAGCAATGATAAGACTGTTACTAGCAGAGCTCATTCTTTCATTCTCCCTCTGCTCCACTGCATCAGTCAGTATGAGCCTGGCTCATTTCAGAGATGTGGAGAATATAAAAACTTCTCAGAAAATGCAAAGCCTGTTTAAGAAATAAGTCATGAGGAGATGCAAGACATAAGGTCTTTTGTTACAGAAGGTTCTGATTGTCCTCTACAGGGACCTGAACAGTACAGGCTTTAATAAAACCAAATTTAAGGTAAGATGTTTGAAAGCCCACAAAGCAGGCTGCGGCTCTGAGAAAGCAGGGGTTGGAAAAGAGTTTCACAGATCATCATGAATAATGGATGCCTTAATCTAAGCATTCCGATGATTGTAGCAACCAGTCATTGATGTGATCGGTGGGTGTGGGAAAAGGCAAATACTGTGTAGATGTGCAGGGATTTGGTCTGGACTCTGTATGTAGCTGAAGTTAGATAGCATAGCCATTGTTTTGACCATGTTTCTTTGGTACTGTAGGAAATTTACATAGAGTTCAAAGAACAGACAGAAAACCTAACCAGAGATGTATGGTGTAAGTCTAGACATAACCATCTCTGTGAAAAGATAAAGCTGGATTAGACTGATACAGGTGTGGAGGCAAGATTTGGCTTTGAAATTCCCCTGTTGGCTATTCCTTCCCCCACCTCTGTCCGCATACATTTGTATGATCTTTTCTTGGGAAATCCCACCTTCTATTTCTCTGCAAGCAAACATCTCCTTAATTCCCAAGGCCCTTGCAGCAGTAGCAGCAGTTCCTTACTCAGGGTAAGAGCTGGGGAGCTAGACTGACTGAACTGGCTTCTTCTTCTCCTGTCTCCCAGCACTAGGCACAGCTTGGAGCAGACTAAAATTAAACTCAGAGGTAAAATACAATTTCCTAACAGTGAGGATAATTAAAAAAGTGCAGTACTTATCTGGAGAAGGGGTGGGATTACCAAACCTTTGGAATCTTTAAAATAGTCTTCCTGAAGTGCTTGCTTTCATCCAGTTTTAATGGTTTGCATGGACAGAGATCAGATGAGACAATCCTTTCCACACTTACAATTTATGGAACTGATGAATCTTTACTGTTGTTCACACTCTAAGGCTTAGTGGAATGAATTAATTACTCTATATGCTTAACCTGTTCTGCTGGCCGTCTGGTTAGACTGTGTTGGTAGCGTAGACCCAGAGCTTCAATATGATCTGACTTTATTGATGAGGTTAAATTCTGTACTCAAACACTTCCATGAAGTGTTAAAGGCTGTCTTAGTGGAGCTTTTGGGGAACAGCTACATTGAAACTCAGAATGTATGCAGTATTAGTGTTGAGTTAGTGCGATTTTTGGAAAGAAGTTCTATTCTGCTCTCTGAGCAAAGAAGAAAATTATTCCCCTGTGTGTGCTGTTATTAAAACTGTCTCTTGTGATTCACTGCAGCATTACTGAGCAGCAGAGGGTACTAAAATACTTACGTAAGCTATGCTGATCTCCGTGCTTAAGGAAAGTTCTTTCAATTCATCTCTCAGGTTTGGCTTGAGCTCTTGCTTGCTGTGCTTCAAGTAGATTGTTCCCAGTGTTAAACAAGGATCAATATGAATAACAAATTACTGATCATGTAATTAGCTCAGAGCAGTTTTTTTCTGGCAATGTATGTTTTCTGTTATTTGTTGCTTCTCCTCCCACAAACCAAAGCAGAATTTGACCATCTGCTGTACCTCTTAATTGAGTGCTGAACGAAAGTTTAATTAGTATAGTGAGACAGTGACTTACAATCTACTCTTAACAAGTTGGTTGTTCTGTTGTACTTGAAAAATGTTTTTGTCATTTTAGATACCATTAAATATTATGTCACCGAGGTGATTATTCAACCATCTGAAGGAAGTTTCAGCCCAACACCAAGGTAACAAATAAAAATAAAACCAATCAGATAATTTGTGCAGGTTTGTCTTTCAGAAAGGATGCTAGAAATGCACTAACATTTTAGTGTCTTGAATAATTACATATAATAAAAAAGTGCTGTCAAATTTTATGTGGTCATCACAGAATTGAGCACTGTAAAGGTAGTGTAGTCTGAATTCATTGATGTACAGTTTTGTTTGCTTGGCTTTGTGTGTGTTTGTGTGTGACACAGGAGAGAGATTGTGTACAATTTGTTGCAGTGTCTCGCTATTCAGGTGATAAGCCAAAATACAGTACTTACTTATTTTGAACTATTTAAGTTTGCATGATGTCTGGTGACTAATTATTGAAATGGAAGGTTACATTACATAAGTTAAATTAAGTAAAGCTTGAAATGTTTAATTGGAAGTGAGATTTTTGATTTTTCAGGTGATTCAGTTTGAAGTTAAGACTAAGATGAAACAACTCAATCTAGCTGTCTTGTGTCATGTACTATGTGTTAGTCACAGTTCTTTCCTTTTGTGAATTGTGTGTGAAATATATGCATCATTCTGAACTTTGTGTTGATATGTGTAAAACATAATAGGGAAAAGCTTTTATTCAGCATTTGACATTTGGTGTTCGTCAAAATAAAGGATGTGGAGCAATTTAGACTGCTGATCTATTAAAAAGTTCCTGTTGCAGGAAATAGAAAGTCTTCTGGTTTTGAAGGAGAGAAAGATAAAGAAGTCCCATCTCTCAATAAAAAGTGATTGTAGGATGTAGTGGAATTGACAGTATGGAGGTACTCATGTACTTGTATTGCATCGATGTGAATGACTTTGCCTATGTAGTTGTTACGAAAACGTGTAACGTGGTTAATTCTTAAACAGGTCTCAGTTCGTACAGAGCATGGTTGCTCAGTGTCTTGTGGAATTGTCCTCTGCTAAAAGCACATTTAGATTCACTGTGAAAGGGGATAATGGAAAAATCTATATTCTGGTAAGTTGGGTTTTTTTAAATC